CTCTGGTGACACACACTGATCAGGCATAACATTATGACCACCTCCTTGTTTCTACGCTTATTGTCCATTTTATCAGCTCCACTTACTATATAGGTGCACTTTGTAGTTCTACAGTTACAGACTGTAGTCCATCTGTTTCTCTGCATACTTTGTTAGCCCCCTTTTACCCTGTTCTTCAGTGGTCAGGACCCTCATGGACCGTCACAGAGCAGGTACTATTTGGGTGGTGGATCATTCTCAGCACTGCAGTAACACTGACGTGGTGGTGGTGTGTTAGTGTGTGTTGTGCTGGTGTGAGTGGATCAGACACAGCAGTGCTGCTGGAGTTTTTAAACACCTCAGTGTCACTGCTGGACTGAGAATAGTCCACCAACCAAAAATATCCAGCCAACAGAGTCCTGTGGGCAGCGTCCTGTGACCACTGATGAAGGACTAGATGATGACCAACACAAACTGTGCAGCAGCAGATGCGCTATTGTCTCTGACTTTACATCTACAAGGTGGACTGACAAGGTAGGAGTGTCTAATAGAGTGGACAGTGAGTGGACACAGTGTTTAAAAACTCCAGCAGCACTGCTATGTCTGATCCACTCGTACCAGCACAACACACACTAACACACCACCACCACGTCAGTGTTACTGCAGTGCTGAGAATGATCCACCACTCAAATAATACCTGCTCTGTGAGGGTCCATGGGGGTCCTGACCACTGAAGAACAGGGCAAAAGAGGGCTAACAAAATGTGCAGAATGGACAATGAGCGTAGAAACTAGGAGGTGGTCATAATGTTATGCCTGATCGGTGTAGGTTGTAGGGGTTTCTATTTGAGCATCTCAAAGGGACATGAACTCCCTCTATGCACCTTATTGCAAACAACACATCAATATACACTCAGTTGTGGCTTCTTACACAAAACTGGGCAAGGACCAATCCGAGCACGTGATTTGGTTTACAGTTGTCTGACCGACAAGGCAGAGAAGAGTTAAAAAACATAAAATGTTTCTAATTTAATTTCTAACTGAGCTGCATTATGCTTGTAACCAAAATTGAGCCACTAGATAAACAAATTAACCAAAAACAAATACAACTGAATGTCTTCTCTAGAGCACATGCAGGGCCTGTACATGGCTCAAGCCTCTCCTAGCATTTCAAAGCCTGTCCAAAACATTTGCCAGAAGGAAGCTTCAGCCCAACCTGTGCAGATTGTTTATTCTCCCAGAATTATTTCCCAAAATGTTGACTTTGATTCTAGTGCAGCAGTGTGAACTGGACTAAGTGGCTCATTGGCCTTTTTCTCCAGAAATCTTCCTATACTTCAAACAATACAGCCTCAACAAGCATGTCTAAGTCTGTCCAAAGCAGTTTCCTGTAAGCAGCTTCAACCTAGCCAGTCCAAAGCACCTGCCATCAGGTTACAAAAATGTTGGCTTTGGTTTTAGTGCAATAAGCATGGCTTGAATAAGCATGGGGTGAATAGCTCTCAGGAATTTTTCAATACCTCTAACTCTAAGCCCCTTAGTAGTGTTTTTAAGGCTCTCCAAAGCACTTTTGAACAAGTAGCTTCAGCTGCTTTTTGTCCAGTTTCACTTACATTTACAGATTTATGATTATTGGAACTCTAAGAATAAATGGGGAACGGAAAGTTTATTCCAATATGAGCATGGATTTTTAAAATTTTGTCAGGTTAGTCACAATAAGATTAAAAAAATCATTTACAAGTGAGCCCTGGCCAAGAAGTGCACACAAACATTAAACAAAACAAATAATGCAAAATAAAGTTTAGAGAAAAAGCCTGAAGCTTCCAATAATAATAAGCAAAACTATGCAGGACATGTTTATTTATCTCTAGTAAATGTTAATGCTTATTTTATTCTGTTACTGTTTGGTGAAGGCATGAGGTCAATTAACTGTATATCCATAAAAGACATTTTGTGGTAAGTTAATGAGGTGCAAGTATGAGTAGTAGCATTTTTATCATGTGATCTATATCATCAGTGTCAAAAATATTATATATATATATATATATACATATATATATATATATATATATATACACACACACACACACACACACACACACACACAACATATGGGGGTCCAAAATTACCTGGAATGAAATCTCTTTATATTAACTTACATTAAAAGTTAAGAAGGTTTTTGCATTCTCCTGTGAAGTTACTATTTTGAAGATGCTTTTTTGGACAGCAGTGGAATCTTGGGTCCCATTACAGTAGTTATGTTTCCATTGAGATTCTGTGCAAATTGCAAGCAAAGAAATTAAAACTATATATATATATTTTATTTATTTATTTTGCTGCCTATCAGCTTGTTTCCATAAGACTGACTTTTTGCAATAAAAATGGTTGATGATGATGTCATTTAATGCAACAAATGCTGTTGCGAAAGTTTTGGTTTATCTTAAAAAGTCTGAAATGTTCCTATATCTAATTTCATGTTCCACATATTCAACTAATAAGTACAAATACATGATTTCTCAGATTTATCAGAAGCATTACAGGAGAGATCACATTCCTCTACCATATAAAGCTGTTTGTGCACTTTCTCTGTAAGATAAGAAAAGTGGTATCATTTCTTTTAAAAATGCACTCGTCTCCAAATCAGTTTAACTTTTCTTCTCTTGTATGCTGTTTGTTGTAGGAGGAAGTCTTTGCTAAGTTTATGCATAAATGTATTATTTATACTGATAAAAAAGAAAAAAAAAACCTTGTGTTATGAAGGAGGGCATCAACAAAAGAACCACATTTACAGCAAATCACCAAATGTCCACCCATTTAGGAAATGTGATTGCAACATACAGTGAGTCCCTAAAATGCAGCCAACACAGAGTGTGTAAACCGTGATAAATTTGCTGGTGAGTAAGTTTACAAAGCAGCAAAGTAGTGGAGTGAATATGAGCAAGAAGTCTGACAGTACATTGTCCTTTACACTAAACATATAGACAAAAGAAACGAGCACATTGCATGTTTTCCTTTGTTTTTCAAAGGCAGGGAGAAAAAGTCCAGCAGGATTCATTCTTCCTACTCAGCCCATGTAAACATTAGCAACGTTAGGAACCCTGCTAGAAAAAAAAACAGCATAGACCAGGAAAGCTGATGACCAGCAAAAAGAGCATAAGTTGTGCTTTGGATGATGGTCACAGCAATGGAAGTTAATATAGTCACCAGCAAAATCAGCATATGTGGTGTTTTGAACGCTGGTATACCAGCTAAACCAGCACCAGATCAGCACTAGACCAGCATGGCAGAAAACTCTTCAAAAAACTCTTTAAACTACTTAAAACCTGTTACATTTCACCAAACCTCTTTTATGACTGCCTATGACACTTAACATGCTTAAACTGAACAATTTTCAACTCTATCTGTGAGGGTCTGCTGTGGGAATGAACACGAACCATGGTGGAACGAGCAGAGAAGGCAGACTTCTCTTCCCGCCAAAACATATATTGGTGATTGAGTGACGCAATGATACCCTGACACTGGGCTTGGCTAGAACTACTAAACAAGCTAGCAAGCTATTGCTAACAAACAAGGCTACACCATCTGTGTTTTTAATCCAGGGGAGAACTATGGCCTACAGTAGATAACGAACCAGAACTATCTTACAATATCACAAGTAGCCTGTCTCAGTTTTAAACGTCCTTCACAGTCTTGAACTTTAGACAAGTGGAGCTGCCTCAGTTTGTTACAGGAAAGGGACATGAAAGATGCTGACTGTATATGGTCTGCATTTCCAGTGAGTCTGTTTGCAGGGACATAAATAATGTGTTTGGTCAGAGTTCTCAGCCAAAAGCAATCTGTTAAAAGAGCAAATTATTTAGTAGCATAATTCAACCCTGTAACCCAAACATTAGACCTACATTTCTAAAGCCTATGTACAGTATTTACTATGGAATGCAGTTTTGTAAATGTAAAAAGAATATTTCATTTAGAAACTGGATAGCTGGGTATGTCACCAAAAATTTGTTGGTCTTTCACAAAGGCCTTGATCAGAATACCAGCCCAAATCTGATTTTTTTTGAAGAACCAGACTGTATCCAGATTGATATGATTTTCGATAGTCTGGACACCAAAAAACCACAAGAAATCTGATTTTCACAAATCGGATCCAAAACAAATTTGGAGGTGGTTTGAAATGCGATTCAAATTAGACTTTTACCGAGGCATCTCAGTCTGAACACTCTGGCCCCTCAAATCAGTTTTCAAAGGGTCATTTGCGTCACTTGCAATGATGGGATTCAAGAAGACCAAAGACTCGTGATGATGTCAGTAACTACGTAGCTATTCTGGTGAGGAGGATTTCAAACACAGATGCAGGAGACATGAAGATGCCATGAAGATCTCTGGCATGAACATGAACCTTGGATGCTGTTCTTTGAATTTCAGCACTTGTGTCACTCTGGATTTGACATCCGCATTGTTTGTGGTGTTGCGATTCACACAAAAGACATGCTAAAATTAGATTCCTGCAGCCAAAGCATCCAGACTGAGAAGCATCTGTAGAAAATCTGAGTGGAATCTCATTTCAAACCACCTTTGAATTTGATCCGGTTTGCAAAAGTATGGATTTCATGTAGATTTTGGACTCAATCATAATAAGCCAAAAATCAGATCAGGACTGTCAGCCTGACAGAGTGCTAAGGCCTTAAGTTGTCAGCCACTCACCATGAGTACTTACTGCACTAAAATTGGCAAAGAAGTTTCAAAAAGAATTTAAAAAATGCAGTGCTTTCCTTGGTAACATGTAACTGTTATTAGATGATCAGCTATTGAAAGAACAAAAAAAGAAAGACAGAAGATGTTTGCAACAGAAGGTCTTGCGCATTGAAAACAATGATGTAATGAGGCCTAATTGGGACCTGTCAATTGCTCATTACCTTAACAAACAGGTGACATGAACACGTCATCCAGCCAGCCAATAGGGAGAGGTGGGGCAGGTGCATTTTGATGACATTAAAGGAACATGTGGCTGGTTGGAGAAGTGTCAGAGAAAGATTTGTCTGTTTCTGAGGGTGGCCAGGGTTGTTTTTGGAGCTTTGATTTTAGCAATGGCAGAAACAATCTGGAAGCCTCTGTGGTATGTTAATTTCATTTAGTGATTTTTAATATAAATCAGTTTGCTTGCTTTATTTATTATATCTGTATTCAACAGGATTTTGTTACTGGTGCTGAGTTATGCTGTGCATGGTGATGCAGGAAGTGGTAAGTTTTCTCTATTAGCAAGCTGAAAAGTTTTAACAAACTACATGCTTTTAATGTGAAGTATGCTTAGTTTACAGACATTATTGTACATAAGATGGTGCTCAGGATGGGAGCACTGAGAGGACTACTGTTCAGGCAAACGCTGATTCTGGATTTGGGCCTAGTCAAGAACTTTATTTTCAGGAAACCCAAGACTCCTCGGAAACTGAGGCCTTTGATTCTAGTGTGACTGATGTGGGCTCAAGTGACTCAAGGGCATTCAGCTTTCAGGAATCTACCTACACCTCAAGCTTTCAGCCATTAACTAGAGTTCCTAAGCCTGCCTTAAGCACCTCCTTAGAACAAGCCTCAGGCCAGTCTGTCCAGACAGCATACCAGCAGGCAGCTTCAGCCCAGCCTGTGCAGGGTAGTTCTCCATCCAGCTTTGTTTCTCAAAATATCGGACTTGATTCTAGTGCAGCAACGGGAACAGGCTCAAGGGGGTCCTTCTTCACATCCAGCTTTAAGCCCTCTGCTAGCACTTCAAAGCCAGTCCAAAGCACCTACCAACAGGTTGCTTCAGCCCAGCCTGTCCCAAGCACCTACCAGCAAAGAGTGTCGGAGCAGCCTGTCCAAACTGCTTCCCAGAGAGTATCTTCAGCTCAACCTGTACAGAGCAGCTATCAGTCTGGCATATTTTCCCCAAGTGTTGGCTTTGGTGCTAGTGCTGTGGGAACAGGACAAAGTGATTGGAGTCTGTACAGCTCTCAAGAAGGGTCCTATACTTCAATCTATAAGCCTTCTGTTAGCACTCAAAGACCTGCCCAAAGCACCTACCAGCAGGGAGTTTCATATCGGCCTGTGCAGAGCAGTTTGCCATCCAGCTTTGTTTCCCAAAATGTTGGCTTTGATTCTAGTGCAGAGGGAACAAGTGGCTCTAGGGCATACAGCTTTGAGGAATCTACTTATACCTCAAGCTTTCAGCTGTTGACTAGTGGTTACAAGCCTGCCCTGAGCACCACCTTACAAGCCTCAGCCCAGCCAGTCCCGAGCGCCTACCAACAGGCAGCCTCAGTCCAGCCAGTCCCGAGCGCCTACCAACAGGCAGCCTCAGCCCAGCCTGTGCAGAGTAGTTCTCCTTCTAGCTTTGTTTCCCCCAATGTAGGCTTGGATTCTGGTGCAACAGGATCAAGTGTCTTGGGGCCATTTTCATACACCTCAAGCCTTAAGCCTTCTACTAGCACTTTAAAACCAGTCCAAAGCAGCTACCAGCAGGCAGCCTCAGCCCAGCCAGTCCCGAGCGCCTACCAGCAGGCAGCCTCAGCCCAGCCAGTCCCGAGCGCCTACCAGCAGGCAGCCTCAGCCCAGCCAGTCCCGAGCGCCTACCAGCAGGCAGCCTCAGCCCAGCCAGTCCAAAGCATCCATCAGCAAAGAGCTTCAGAACAGACTGTTCAAGCTGGTTACCAGCAAACATTTTCTGCTCAACCTGTACAGAGCAGCTATCAGTCTGGCCTTTTTTTCCCAAGTACTGGCTTTGATTCTAGTGCAGTGAGATCAAGTGGCTCTACGGCATACAGCTTTCCGCAGTCTACCTATACCTCAAGCTTTAAGCCATTGACTACGGTTTCCAAGCCTGCCCTGGGCACCTCCTTACAACAAACTTCAGCCCAGCCTGTGCAGAGTAGTTCTCCATCCAGCTTTGTTTCCCTAAATATTGGCTTTGATTCTAGTGCAGCAATGGGAACAGGTTCAAGGGTATCTTTCTATCCATCAAGGTTTAAGCCTTCTACCGGCACCTCTAAGCCTGTCCAAAGCAACTACCAGCAGGCAGCTTCAGCTCAACCTGCACTTGGCTCATATGCCCTTGATGTAGGCCTTGATTCAACTACAGTAGGAACAAGTGGTTCAAGTGCCTACAGTTCTCAAAACTATTCCTACACCTCCGGCTATAAACCCTCCACTAGTTCTTCTCAATTGGCCCAAAGCACCTCCTTACAACAAGCCTTAGCCCAGCCTGTCCAAAGCACTTACCAGCAGGTAGCTTCAGCCCAGCCTGTGTGGAGTAGTTCTCCATCTAGCTTTCTTTCCCCAAATGTTGGTGTTGATTCTAGTGCAATAGGATCAAGTGGCTCAAGGGCATATTCTTACACCACAAGCTTGAAGCCCTCTACTAGCACTTCACAGTCTGTGCAAAGCACCTACCAGCAAGGAGCTTCAGAGCAGCCTGTCCAAACTGCTTCCCTGAGAGTATCTTCAGCTCAGCCTGTACTGAGCAGCTATCAGTCTGGCCTGTTTTCCCAAAATGTTGGCTTTGATTCTAGTGCAGGGACAGGCTCAGCGGTGTCCTTCTATACATCAAGCTTTAGGCCCCCAAGTAGCTACCAGCAAGTAACTTTATCCCAGCCAGTGCAGAGTAGTTATCCATCTGGAACCAGTGGGACTGGACTGGCATCAAGTGACTCGAGGGCCTACAGCTCTTCAGGATCTTCCTATCCCTCAAGCCGTAATCCCCCTACCAGCTTTTCTAAGCCTGTTGAAAGCCTTTTCCAACAGTTAGCTTTGGCTCAGCCAGCTCAGAGTAGCTATCCGCCTGAAGCTTCTTCCCAAAATATTAGAATGGATTCTTCTTTGACTGATGTGGAAGAAAGCGTCTTGAGAAATGACTACAGTTCTGAAGACGCTACATCTGGATTAAACTACAGCCCTTTCACCAGCATATCTACACCTTCCCAAAGTACTTACCGACAGGTGACTGCAGCCCAGCCTGTTCAGAGCCGTTACCAAGATGTGCCTTTTCCCCAAACCAGCTATGGTGCTAGTTTGAGTGGTGTGACCTCAACCGGTTCAAGGAGTGTGTATACCCCTTCAGACTCAGTGGCTTTGCCTGCCCAAGACATGGTTCTCAGACCTGGCTTGGCTCAAGTGTCTGCTCAAGCGTTCAGATCACCATATTCCTATGCTCAGCCTGTGAATTCCCTAGACAACTCTGAACCCTCTGCTGGCTCTCCAAGATTAATGTGGACACAAAAGACGCTGGAATATCTGATAACTTCCACTCTATGGTAAGTCAGTTCTTAACTTGTTTCAGCTCATGTGTCAATTTTGTGCATGTGCTTACCTTGTACTGTTTCTGCTTTCAGGTTGGATTGTCATAGCAGCTGAACCTTAATTTGAAGCATTTCTAAATAAATATTTGCTAATATATGCTAACTATTTTGGATGTTTTATTTGTTTTAAATGCAAGTTTTCAGGAAGTTTATTTGTTGCTCTTAAATATCTGTGGAAGAAAACACAGATGCTGTGGGGTGTGTTTTTTGTGTTAATTCAGTAACCAGCTGAGCACAAGGGGAACCCATCCTCTTCTGGTTGACACCGGATAGCAAACACTGTTAGTATAAAGTATTATAGTACAAAGTGGGGAAAACAGGTGGAGCAATGGTTTATTTGATTAGTTTTTAGATTATGCAGCAGCAGCATCGTCAGTTCATGAGGGTGAGGATTACAGTGTTGTACAGCATGAAGCTTGATGGTGGTCAAGCCAGCCCAGAAGGCACCCAATCAAGGCAGAAGAGGCAACAGCACCAGACGCGCAGGATGGGCAGCTGTTCAACTCGGCAAAGAAAGGAAAGTTTAATTGTGTATTCTGAATTTTCTAATTATTTCAATTTTATCACTAAATAAATTAATAATCATTGCTGCTATAGGCTAATGGCATCTGGGGTTCAATAACTTTGTTTTTTATTTTAGAAATTGTGCTAAATAATAATTTAGGATTATTCTTATTGTTTTCTATGAGAGAGGAGAGGTAGGCTGAGCGTGCTGTAGCAAGTGCTCTTCTATAGTCTATAAGGCTCTCCTTTTAGGCAGACTGGAACACTTCTAGTTTAGTCAGGCGCCATTTTTGCTCTAGTTGTCTGGCGGTCTGTTTTAAAGCCCAAGTGTGATCATTATACCAAGGGGCAGCTTTTTCTGCCTTACTATTTTACTTTTTAATGGAACCATACTATCTAGAGTAGATCAAAAAGTATCCTCTAAAAACTTGGTCATGATATCTAACTTGGTAGGATTAGATGGACAGCTGACAGAAGTTGATAATTGAGGAAGGTATCTGATTTAGCTACCAGCTGTGGAGGAAGTTATAGTCTGCTTAACACAATAACATGGTGATGAATGCACATTACCACTAAAGTGAATTTCATATGAGATTAAGTAATGATCTGAGACTGCTGTGCTCTGGGGGAGAATGGCTCAGTTATCTACACCCAAGGTCAGTATTAAGTCTCAAGTGTGGTTGTGGTAGTGTGTGGGCCCCTTTATATTTTGGGTGAAACCTACAGAGTCTATGATAGATATAAATGCCTTACTTAGTGCATTTTGAGGATTGTCCAAGTGGATATTAAAATCTTCAGCAATTATTTTATTTGAAAATGTTATTAAACTTGATAGAAACTTCGAGAATTCCTGTACGAACTGAGAATATGGCCCTGGCGGCCTGTAAATTAGTGAAAAGGAATTTTTATTTGTTTGTTGATCATGTATATTAAGAAAAAGAACTTCAAAAGAAGAGAATTTATAGCCTACTTTCTGGCTCACGCCTAAAGCTTTAGTATGGATGGTTGCTATACCTCCACCTCGGCCGCTTAAATGAGGGCTATGCGCACAGCTGTAGGCTGGGGGTGTGGCTTCATTTAGACTAAAGTATTCATCGGGTCTAATCCACATTTCTGTGAGGCACAGAGCATCAAAATCATGATTGGTAATAATTTCATTTACAACGACGGCTTTAGATGTAAGGGATCTTATGTTAATCAGTCCTAGTTTTAGACCAAAGGTGTGGTCATTGCAAACTGGTATAACTGGTCTGATATTAATCAAGTTACTAGAGCAAACTTTTTGAGGCTTTTTGATGCTTTGTTTTATTCGGGAAACAGACACAGTCTCAATTTGGAGGAGCCTATGTGGCGTCTCATGACAGTTTGCGAAATGATCATATGTATTTATAGAATAAGTATTATTAGCACTTGCCTTATTATACTTACGTGGCCTTCACTTTGTAGTCAGCGGATGGCCCTCTCGATGTTCAGGACAACAGAACCAAGACGACTAGGGTGAAGCCCATTCCTCCGGTAGAGTGCTGGCTGTTCCCAAAACAAAGACCAGTTGTCCACGTAGCCCAGGCCGTTAAGGGCGCACCAGCCACGCAGCCAGGACTGCAGCGCGAAGAGCCTGCTGAAACGCTTGGATCCCCTCCTGTATGTGGGAAGAGGTCCGGAGACGACGATCCTGGCGTCCGTCTTCTTCCTGGTGCTGTCCAGTAGCGTCTGGTAGTGCTCTTTCAGGACCTCACTACACCGGTCAGAGATGTCATTGGTCCCGACATGAATAACCATGGTCCCGAAGGTGTTGCGTCTTCTGAGAGCCGAGGGGACTCACTTGGCTATGTCTAAAACTCGAGCACCTGGAAAACAAGAGACGGTGGCATGGCTGTTTATACCTTTTACTGTTACGTGGCAGACAATAGAACTACTGATAACATAAACCTGTGTAGAGGGCC